TATTTCATGAAAAAATCCTCATTAACAAAACTGCTTATTTATTTATATTTATTATTTTTGTTATTAAATATATATATATATATATAATTTTATTATTATTATTTATAATTAAGCTTAATTGATTGTGTTAAAACTACAAACTTTCCTAGTGTTTTTACAGAAGGTAAAGAAGTATTAAATGTTTTGCGTACATAATTATAAGCCTAGCTGAGTAATTTATGGTGAGTGCAAAAGCTCTCAACTGTGGTAAATAATTTTTTCTAACAATTTTGCCTGATTTTCTAGATTTTGATTTTTCTAAGGAACTTAATGCGTCATTGTTTTCCGCTTCTAATGAATTTTTGTTTTCTAATTCTACCAATAATGACTTCAAAAAGACTATTTGTATTTTTTGTCTTCTGTCGGAATCACTTAACGTTTTAACTTTTTTATCTTTTTTGTTCATTATTTATTGCAAGTCCAAACCATACTTCAAACTTTTACTTTTTTTGCAGGATAGGGTGACAAACAAGCACACAGCCCACCTGATGGTAAGTGGTTGCTATGGCCCATAGACATCTACATTTATCCTCGTTTGCTAATCAAAATGCAGATGCGTTGTCACCCGTGAGGACTAAGATGGAATGCCTCTTTTCCAGTAAAAAGGGTCATCGGTTCTCTACACTCACCATACGAAACACAGCAGTGTTAAACTGCTATTTTACGCTGGTATTCTGTGAGAGCGTGGTACTTCCTCGGTCGAGCCGACCCATTCATGCTACAACTATACTACTAATATAGCTGTAGCTTGGCTCTACCACGTAAACGAAAGTATCAAATGCAGATGGCGTATCAAGTATAGGAGAAAATTTTCTTTTTTGTTTTGTAGGCGTTTCTAAGCAATGACTCTGATTTTTAGGTGTTGGTGGGTTTTTCGCTTCTTTCAGCGGTAAACCAGTAATCTAAATCAGAAATACATATTCGTTTCTTTAAAAAAATTACCGATATAGTATTATTAATTAATACACTATACGGCACGTCTTCCAAATTTAGATGTACTTAATAATTATAATAAGATAATACTGAAGTTCATGTAACACTAAATACCAAGGCAAAACAATAATCACATTATAACTTTTACAAGTTTTATGATTTATAAATCAATTAAAAATAGCTTGATTTCGACGTGTAACATTCATCTAAATATAAAAATATCATGTTTCACTCACCCACTTAATGATATTATTGTGTAATCTACGTTAGTACTAATCTTTAAAAAAAATCCAAAATTCCATACCAAAACTGGCAAGAATCCAACAGCCTTATACGGTTTTTCATAATATTATGAAGATTGTCTTCTGTGAAGTGTTTTGAGCATAGTATACTATTTTTGGTGGGAAACCATTCGTCCCCTCGACAATTTGCGTCGATCCACTAATTTTTTTTTCTTTCGGGGCATTTAGGAAACCTATAACATATAGGTACCACAATGATACGTCACTATTTTTATAAAATAATATGACTTCGAAAAAAATAATTAATTGATGACAAAACAAATATCGGCTTAAAAATTACAACAATATCGATACACGTGCTGTTGTTAGACAAAGACAACTATTGTACTTTACGTAACGAGTGAAAGGGACATTTCAAAAAGACATCAACGGGTGCTTAATTGTTATCACTTTGCACCAATTATATACCAGTATAAGTTGATCTCCGGTGCATTTGAAATAGGTTAACGTGATAAGAATAGAATTTAGTTACCAATTAAAATTTATGCCATCTTTTTGATAACTGGATGTCTTACCTGACTTGTCACACCATTTTACTGCACAGGAAGCCATTTGTAATGTATTTTGGATACAAAACTATTTTTAAATTGTCAAGAACTCGGACGTGCCTACGGATCACAAACTTGGTCGATACTGATGTCGTGATTCTTAGCGTTACTTCGTATGCTAGCTACAGCAAGTATGTGTTGCGCGCGTTTGTGGCCCTGTATGCGGAATCTATTAGGGGGTAATCTATGTTCCGAGAGGACACGGGCAGGCCACTCGGCGGAGCTTCACGTGCTTCATTATCATACTTGGATCCCGCCTCGATCAAGTCGTCCGTGAGCGAAAAGATCACCCTGTGAAAGCATGGGCACTAGCGGCCCAGCGCAGCTCCGCCTTCAGGCGACGAATCGGTAGCTTGTGCGATGGCATCACTACTAAATACAAATTACTACGCGGCACAATACAAATCAAATTAACAAATAACAAATACAATTACTATCAAATCAAGTTCAAAACAAATTACACAAATACAAATTACTATTTATTAAATGAAATACAAATAACACTACAAATAAAAGTACATACAACAGTCGATCAGCAAAGATGCCTCGCTCAGACGACCGACCCTTCGACAATTAATCTACTATAATTATACGACAACGATAATTATCCGATTACGTGATAACAATTATCTATTTACCCAAAATACCTGACGCGTACCTAGCCCTAACAAGCTCCTGCTTGCGCAGCCTAACGGGTTTGGTTCCTAAATCTACCCACCTATCCGCTAACAAACAAAGGAAGCAAACAACAAAAGAAAATATTTTTATTAATACGTATTACGTATTTATTACCTACTATTTTTATTAATATTACGGCCGGGCGTGATTGGAAATCAATCAACCACGCTCTGCTACCAAAAATGTTCACGCCCTGAGTTGCCCCGACAAAGGTTGATTGGACTAGGGCCCATCAGTAATCCAATCGACGGGCAACAGAGGACGGGGCCCAACGGCTTATGGAGACTTATTACTCTACACAATAGATATAAGGCTAGGTAATTAATAAGAACGTACCTGGTTCCAAAGCTAAGACTGACCCCAAGGCTCAGTCAGGCGATAGGTAAGTGCATGTAAGTAGTGTGGTTGAAGGTGTGTATGTGTGACCTGACCTAACTGAGGTGATCGGGCAGCGGCTTGGTCCGAAGCTGCCCCACGATGTGCTATCACTCCAGCGGACGTCACCAATTGACAACTTCTGCCTTCATTTCACTATTTCAGTTTATCAACTTTATTGTACACTATTTCAATCCATCAACTTTATTTTACATTTAATTAACTTTAAACTCAACCAAATCCCCGTTAATCTTAATCAAACACGTGACACAAGGCACAACTAATGAACGGTCGAATAAAGTTCAACCTCCAGTTTCACTTAGCAACAAAATTATAACCACGAGCAAGAACGCGATCTCTTCTCGGGTCACGAAGTTCAGCGTTTCACCCAACAAACTAGAATTCTTTCGTACGATATTAACCGTCCACCTAAACAAAAAATGCGTAAATATTGCAAACGCGCTTGAAATGCAACCACTATACAAATTGATGTAAATTAATTACAGCCAAAGGTAAGTTAATTTAATCACTCTACACTTAGACCGGCCTCATTATCGCGTAAAACGCACTAAAATGATAACTCGAAATAGTAGCGATCTTAAAGCGACCTCACGAGTCTAGCGAGAAAAGCTATTTAGAGATTATACGGTACGCGACCCCGATGTTCTAGTAACTGCACTGCATTAATAACTTCCGACGTGCCCCGCCCGCAACCAACTCTGCTCGCGCGAACATATATATATATATATATATATATATATATATATATATATATATATATATATATATATATATATATATATGTATATACTATAAATGGAAGGGCACTTTTTCCCGAACATAATTTGCATGAATGATAATTTGTATTGCTGCTGATCCAAAACTGAATAGTTTTCGCTCAAGCTCTACATGCGAAATTTGTTGGTTTTCTCAAATAAGTTTTTCTTGCTTGCTCTTAACTCCAAGGTGAGTGACTGACAAGTGAATTTTTTTTTTTTATTTATCTATTTTTGCATTAAAATTAATTGCTGAATAATTTATTCCTTGAATTCCTGTCATATTGTCGCAAAAAAGTAAAAAGAAATATTAAGTGTTATGTCCATTTTCATGCAGCCTTTACGATAGTACTTCACGCTCGGGGAGTGAAAACGAGTGCGAAGTGGGTTCGCTCGAATCGAGCAGTGTCCGCTTGCTTTGATTCATCTGTGCTCGTTTACTACGTATCGATATTTTGTATAGAGATCAAAGTAGCGAATACGAGTGAGACCTGCTTACGCTCGTGAACGTCAGTGTTCAGATTCAGCTGACGATTGCCGATTTGGTCGAAATATTTGTTTTTTATCATATCGACATCGATAGATATATGGAAGGAAAAACTGAATTGTCTCACGAGAGCACTATAGATGTACTTTTTTAAAATGTACCACAGTGAGCCGACGATTTCCTTTTCTTGCAAATCAATTTCCATCTTCGATGTTTAGGTAGTGTGGCGGCGCTGTCATCACGCCGCAAGCGAAACATATCGAAGCCTAAATCGCACTAACAAAGTTTCGAAGTGATAGCAGCATATATAGAATAGCTCCGAACTATCAATTGGAGCGTTGGCCGCTCCCCGGGCAGAACACCTTCTCGGCGGGAGATCTCCCCTTTTCCTTCCACAGGCCACATGTAGTAATCGAGCTACCCGAGAGTGTGGCCCCTCCACACGCTCGGCTAGTTTGCCTGTACTAGTACCTGCTTTCGCACGCCCGAGCGCCTCGTACGTACTTTTCCGTAATTAAAGTGTAACCAACGGGACCCTACTACTAAGCTTCCGCAGTCCCTCAGTCTGTAAGCGGACTGTATCTCATGATCCGTAATACGTAGACCAGGTATGGGCAACCTTTGACATGTTGCGGGCCTAACTTTAGCGTGTAAATACGTTCGCGGGCCGCGTTTAAAAGTACTTAGTGCATTTTAAAGTAGTGATATTATTTTTTGAGATAGATATTAGACATGAAATAATACGACAATGTTATAATAGTACAATTTATTAAAATAACAAAATGAAATTTAATAAAATGGTACATTATAATTAAATCGTTAATGCAATTGTTACAAACTACGAAAGGTAAATACACTGAAATCAATGATACACTTGAGCTTGTATTTGGGAAACTAATCCATCGATATTTGGATAAATTCCACTGATATAAAGACGTAAATAATTTTTCAAATTATCGTCAGTCAGTCTTGTACGATGTTTTGATTTATTAACTTTCATCAATGAAAAGAACTGTTCGCATTTATAAGTACTGCCAAACGCACAAATCAATCTTCTTGCGAATTTTCTAAGCTGCGGAAAATTGTCTTCTTCTAGGTATTTTTTGTAAAAATCGCACAACTCTACGTCTTCCAATTTGGATTTTAGGAGTGAGTTTTCTTGAATCTCGATCAACTCCATTTGTAAGTGTATTGGAGCATTTTGTACATTATATTTTGTAAGAGTAGCAAATAAACTGAAACAATCTTCCATGTTTTTGAAGTCGCTAAATCTGTTCGAAAATTGTTCTGACAGTAACTTGAGTTCTTCAGCATATTGAGCATAAGCAATATTTTTACACGCAGAGAGCGTGTTGAAATGGTAACTGTTACCAGACAACATCTGTGGCTCCCACAATCGTAGTTTGATCTCTAACGCTTTCAAATGGCTGTACAAATCATTTACTAACTGTCCTTGTTTTTGAAGTTTCAACTTTAAATAATTCAAATAGCCTGTAAGATCGACCAGAAATGCCAAGTCACATATCCATTTTGGGTCACTTAATTCAGATAGTGCTTTATCTTTTATTTTCATAAAGTCTGCTATCTCATTTCTAAGCTCGTAAAACCGTTTCAACAATATGTTACGTCGTTATATTCAGCTGATATTTCATCCAAAAATGCCTTGAATTGACGATGGTTAAGCCCTCGGGATCGAATAAAATTGATGGTTTTTAGTACCACATTCATAACATTCTGGAGTCGAATGGACTTAGAACACACGTTCTGTTGGTGGATAATGCAATGAAGGACTATCAAATAATCTTTTTGTACATTTAATTCTGTTGCTTTTTCATTCAAAATTCTGATGAAACCTTTACGTAAGCCGACCATAGAAGGTGCACCGTCAGTGCATACTCCAATTAATTTTGACCCTGGCAAGTCAAAACTTGTGATTACCTTTTGAACTTCAATAAAAATATCCTCATCTGTTGTATTTCCTTTTAGCGGCTGTAAAGCAAGCAATTCCTCAGTAAAAGTGAACTTCTTATCAACACCTCGAATAAATATAGCCAGTTGAGCTGTGTCAAATCGGTGATCACGTCTAATGCTATGGAAAATGATTCAAAACCAGCCATACGGTCAGTCAATGTTGTTTTTATATCATTAGCCATCATTTCTATACGTCGAACAACAGTTGGTCTTGACAATCAAATTTTTTCAAATTCATTTTTCTTTACAGGACACAAAATACCGCAGAAACAGAAACAGAAACAGAAACTTTTTTATTCAATATAGATTATAAATAATACTTATTGAAAGTCACTCTTTTGTTTGATTACCACTGGTTCGAAAAAAACCTCTGTCCTGGGAAGAACCAGCAAGAAACCCAGCGGGACTTTTTTTTTTAAATAACAGCTTACAATCATGATGTTACACAAATTAACAACACAACAAATTAGAAATAGCTTGGTAGCGATCACCTCATTTCCAGGGGTTATTATCATCCATAAATTCCTTAATATTAACCTTAACCCTTTTAACCTTTAACCCTTTTTATACAAACTTAGTTTAATAAAGTTTTTGAACTTTGAACAGGTCAAACTTTGTATATTTTCTGGAATTTTGTTGTAAAAGCGTATACATCGCCCCAAGAATGAATTACTGACTCGATGGAGTCGAGTAACTGGTACTATTAGCTTGTGTCTGTTCCTAGTATTTACAGAATGAATATCACTTATTTTTGTAAAACTACTTTTATTTTTGTGTACGTACATTACATTTTCATAAATGTATTGAGAGGCCAAAGTTAATATATTAATTTCCTTAAATTTTTGTCGCAGCGACTCTTTAGGCTTTAAATCATAAATTGCTCTTATGGCCCTCTTCTGCAAAACAAATATAATTTCAGAGTCAGCTGCGTGTCCCCATAGCAAAACACCATTATGCTATATATACGACATTATGCTATGGAAGTAGCTGAAGTAAACTAGTCTAGCTGTTTCAACACTGGTTAGACTTCTAATCTTTTGTACAGCATATGATGCAGAACTAAGTCTGCTTGCTAGTTTTGATGTATGGGGGCTCCATTGAAGCTTCGCGTCTAGTGTGATTCCAAGAAAAATGGTGGTATCTACAAGACTCAGTTTCTCACCATTTAAAATTACATTAGTATTTAATTGTTTGACATTTGGAGTCACGAATTTCATACATTTTGTTTTAGTGCCATTTAAATGCAAATTATTAACATCGAACCAATTTACTAATTTAGATATAGCATTATTTACTTCGTCATATTTTAGTAACTGTCGACTTAATTTGAAAATTAAAGAAGTGTCATCTGCAAATAATACATGGTTATCTCCTACTATGTAAGGTAAGTCATTAATGTATACAAGAAACAGAAAGGGGCCGAGAATTGAGCCTTGAGGCACGCCCATTTGTACCGTCGATCGGGAAGAGCTCATATTGTTAATGACAACTTTTTGCGTTCTCTTACTTAAATATGAAATAATTAATTTAAGGGCATCACTTCTTACACCGTAGTGTTGAAGTTTCCTGATTAATGTTTCATGGTGAACACAATCGAAGGCCTTGGATAGGTCACAAAATATACCCAAAGCATCCTGTGAATTCTCCCATGCATTAAAGATATATTTAATCAGCTCAACACCGGCATCAGTTGTCGAGCGACCCCTTGTGAAACCAAATTGATTTTTATGAAGTAAATTATTTATATTAAAAAAATTTAACATTTGATCAAGAACAATTTTTTCAAAAATCTTACTAAGTGTTGGTAGTACAGAAATAGGTCTAAAATTGGCGGGGTCTAATGTACTACCAGATTTAAATAAAGGTATTACTTTACTATGCTTCATTAAATCAGGAAACACACCAGATTCGATACTAGTATTAAAAATAATAGCTAAATGAGGCGTGATTGTATCTATTATAGACGCAATAACTTTAACGGAAATCCCCCACAGATCCGCAGTTTTCTTAACATCAATAGTTTTAAAATATTTTACAATATCTTTTGATGACACTTTATGAAATGTAAAATTCTTTGTACACACATTTACATTTTGTTTAAGTAATGATTCGGCGACGGCAGGAGAAGAATTCAGTGACTTAGTGGTCAAGATCGGAATATCAGTAAAATATTTCTCAAAAACCGTTGCTACGTCCTGATCTGATACAGTTAATTTGTTGTTAACACCTAACTGGTAATTTGAATTGCAAGAGTTGATCTTACCAGTTTGGCTATTAATTATACTCCATGTCATTTAAATTTTATTGGAAGCCGTCTTAATTTTGTTGCTCAAATGCAAAGACTTGGCTATGGAGCACACTCTTTTAAATATTTTTGAATATTTTTTTACATATTCCCTAAATTCGACGCTATGATTATATGACCTTTCATGGTAAAGATCATATAACCTATGCCTGGTCTTATGGACTCCTACTGTCGCCCATTCATTGAATGACTTCCGACTGTTCAAGGAGAATGTTTTAGAAGTAAAAGTATTATTAAATTCATTGCAAATAAGCTTAAATAATGTTCCATACAAAAAATTAGGATCATTTTGGTATGAAAGTGATGGAAGTTTTTTCACTATGTTACTTCTAAATTTCTCCAAGCGACGTGCATTTACTGGAACAGACACAACTTTCTCATCTACTTGCTTTTTGTGAACATAAGGTAACGAAACTACTTGTCCACAGTGATCAGAACTTAATTTTTGAATTATACATTTATGCAACGGCTTCACATTTGTAAAAATGTTATCTATACATATTGCACTAGATTGAGAAATACGCGTTGGCTCTATAAATAAATTGAAAAGACCATATGATTTAAACAATGATCTAAATTTAATATTGATGGAGGAAGCTTCTAGGAGATTGATATTAAAGTCTCCACATATTACAACAGATTTATTCTGTTTATTAAGCTTAGCAAAAACTTCCTCCATAATGTTTTCAAAAGTATCATATGTACAACATGGGGGTCTGTAGACGCTCACAACAATGAGGTGCTCAAACTCAACACATGCCATTTCTACAGTTCGCTCAACAGAGAGGCTCACAATGTCTTTACGTTCTTTACATGATAATAATTTACTAGCTAATATTAAGGAGCCACCTCTTAAAACCGTATCTCTATTGAAAGAACTGACCACCTGGTGATTACTGAAGTTAAACATTAAATTATAAGCTTTTAACCAATGTTCAGTAATACATAAGATATGAATATTGTTGCTATTTAAGAACAACTCAATTTCTAGCTCTTTGCCTATCATGCCTTGTATATTTTGATGCACCAGGTGTAAACAATTTTCATTATTACTCTGTGGAGTCATACAATTAAATATTTGTAAGCTACATTCTAAATTATTTAAGTTATTATAACTGCTAGAGATTACCTCTATTGTCTCATTTTCTAATTTAAATTACTTGGAACTGATTCCAAATTGCATATTAAGTCATTACACTGCTCAAAAGAAGCAGATGTCTGTGTAGCCAAGTCCATGGCTGAGTTAATATATAAATAATAAGATAGCACATTTGCTATCTGTCTTAAATTATATTTTGATAGGTAATACCTATCTCTAGTCAAAAATTTCTTAATTAAATTATTTATATCTATTAAATTAATTCTATCATTATAATTGTAACAATTAAATGTCAAGTTTAAATTATTATTACATGAAAAGTTATTCATTAATAAATTTAAATCATATCTTATTTTATTTTCCTGCGGCCAACCCTGTATGTAAGGCAATGTAAACAAGATAATTTTATGTACATTTAAAGTATTTAGATTATCAATATATTTTAATAATTGATTTTTGTTTACATTGCCTCTTCTCCCAACAAGAATTATTAATGTGCTATTAGGACAAAATTTACTAGCTAAAACTTTATTCATTATACGACTAAAGGATGCTCCAGGCATGCAATAAATTGTGATCATATGTCCTTTTAAACAGTTATTTAACATCATGCCCAAATTTTTGCCTATGTCATCACAATACATAATAACTTTATTTTTTTTAATATTTACATTGCTTTTTAAGTTTATATCCTTTGTCATGGCACTGTCATAGAGTGTAGGTGAAAATAATGAGGTCTTACTGTTAACTTTGTTATTTACACATATTGTCCCCGATGAACCTGGTATGGAGCGCTGATACTCACTCTGATTTTTTATTAAGGAGTCAAAGCGCTCCTCATTATATTCATATGATTTTACCAGATCATTCATGGCCAATATGTGTTCTTTTATCTCATCTTGAGCCGATGCATATTTATTTGATACAATTTCTAGAGAGCTTTTAAGTGATAAAATTGTTGAATTTAGACACTCTATATCAGTCTCATAACAGTGATTCATATTTTCCACCTCAATTGAATATATTTTAAGTTTACTAATTAGTTCTTGCTTTTCTTTGCATACATTTATATAATTTTTAACATTAATTTTAGTTTTAATTAATTTTTGTAGTTTTCTAATATATTTATTAATTTTTATATATTTCTTTAATTTTCTTCTACTGCAGGTAGTCCTTGCTGCTGTTCTTGATATGACAT